CGCGCCTCGCCTCGCCCTTCGGGAAAGGGGCGGCCGCCCAGTGCTGCCGGGGGCCGCGCCAGCGGACGAGCTTCTGCTCGCTTCAGCAGCAGATGGACGTGCTGTGCCGGCGCGTCGGGGCAGGTTGAGGGGCTGTAGGCCTGAAGTGCCTTTCTGCGTCGCTGCGGGAGTCTGGAGCAGGGCGGCGTGCTTCTGAGTGCACCGCCTCCATTATCTCCTGGTTGATAAAATATGTTTTATTTTTTCTTTATATAGTGGTAGCAAATTTTTTTCTAAGTTAATTTCCCTGTGTTTGTTTCCTGTTTATTGCTTTTGCTTTGACTAATCCCTTCCTAATACCATCGAACTCCAACAGAACTACTGACTTGTTGGACTAGCAAATGCCTTTCATTAATCGCTGCTGCTGACTGTTGTTAACAGGCATTCGGCCTCCGATTGTGAATGGCCCGATGCCAGCACGGCCACTGGTCGCACTCCTGGATGGACGGGATTGCACAGTGGAGATGCCTATCTTGAAGGATGTTGCTACGGTGGCATTTTGTGATGCTCAGTCAACTCAGGAAATCCATGAAAAGGTGGGCAAAAAAATGTGTGAGCGTTCAGATGCATTCTGCCTCAAAGCAGAGATTGATTTGGGCTGGTTTTTGTTGTAGGTGCTGAATGAGGCGGTGGGAGCTCTGATGTATCACACCATTACCCTTTCTCGTCAGGATCTGGAGAAATTCAAAGCCCTCAGGGTCATTGTGCGTATTGGCAGTGGCTATGACAATGTTGACATCAAATCTGCTGCAGAATTAGGTATGATAACACCGTTAGGGCTCTGTTATGATCAGAACTGAATGTGAGGTGCAGCACTGCACATGTCTTTCTGTTTTATAGCTGAGTCCATTTAATGCCTTATGTAAAAAGATTTGCAGCTGCTTAGTACCAGGCATCTTTAGGAAGCTGACTGATATCGGAGCTGGTAGGTGGCTTGAAAGAAGGATTTTCAGTTCTCGGCTTGCTCTGCTAAAGATGTCAGCATCTTTGCTGTTATTTGGGATTCAGGATCCTGAATATGGTGTCTAGGTAACTTTTTGTGAGGTAGTTTTTTGTGGGGAAAGAAGTGAGCAGACTGATATTCAGAAGCAGACTGCAGATGTGGGTACAGGGTAACTCACTGTAAATGCTTGTTAAGTGAGTTTTCCTGTTAATTTTTTATATGCAGGTAGGATCCAATTCAGCACTTTGACTGATCCATTTAGAGTCCTCAACATGTGAGGAGTCTCTGGATCAGGTGACAAAAAGCTGTTCTTTCTTAAATGTATGGCAGTGAGATTTCTGGACCTTGTAGTCTCCTGGGTGAGGCAGATCATCTGGGTACCCTGCCCCTTTTTTTAGGTTTATGTCAGTAATTTGTCAGATTTCTGAATGTAACGCAGGTCAGATGGAGCTTAAATCAAATGCAAGTATTTATATATAAAATTGAAATAGGCATTACAATTTCCAGGTCTGTAAGAACAGATGGATTTCAAGTAAATGAAGGTGCATATTTGTCTAGCGCTTGAGTTGGGTCTAAAGAGTTCTCACCTCAATGTTTTTTCTGAATAGTTTCAAGAATTCCTGGCAAGGTCTTTGGCTGCCATCCAGTCATTACATTTTTGGGCTGATTTTGGAACCTAATCTACTCTTTAAGGCTCTCGATTTAAAGTCACCATCCATATCTTTGATTAATTCACATTCAGAGCTTTCCCTTTCCCCCCACTCCACTCTCACAAACCCAAGGAGACATGGGTCAAAGTTCTTTTACCACCAGACTGCTGCTTGCCACTTTTGCTCTGGAGTGGTAGTACCACAATCTTTATGCGCCGCCAGATTTTCTTTTTCATGGACAATTAATGATTATTTTCATGCTTAGTCAGGACTTTTAATTCAATCTGAGGTAAGATGCTGTTCTTTGTGTTCTGAATCTTTAAATCAAAACAGTTTGTGTTTTCTTACATTAGGGTGTAATATTATGTGTAAACACACATAGCTGTGTAAGAGGTGAATGCATGTGGCTTGTCTGAAGTGAGATGAGAAGAAATCAGGTTTCCCTGGCTCCCTTCCTCATGTCTCCGAGTCATCTGTGGCATTACGGCACAATTGCACAGGATTTGATAGAGAAAAGGAGTCGGATATCTGGCGCTGTGTGTGGCTATTGCTTTCCTAGGTCTCTTGGGAGAGTGTGATCTGAGTTGAGTCAAATGTCCTCTCTGTAATAGGCTTACAAAACAGTGATGTGTTGCTGAGTTTTATGTGCCTTCAGCCATTGCCTAGATTTTATTCCTAGTTTTTAGGTATGTGGTGGACTTTCGAGGAGGAAGGATTCCTTGGTTTGGCAAGTGGCTAGGGTTATGTTTAGGAAGAGACCATTTTTTTCATCTAGTTATTTTCATTTCTTGGCTGGTTTGTTGAATGAAGGATAGCAGTAGTGAAAGTGAAGTGGTATGTTGCCAGCCCTGGCTGCCGCCCCGCCCCCTCTGCGTTTTTGTTTTTGGTTTGTTTTTTTTCAATAGACTGCTCAGGAATGACCAGATTTGCTACATTGTTCCATCCTTCCCTTCCCTGACAGTAATTTGTGCTTTCAGGGCTTTAACTTTGTTTGCATTAGTAATTTACCTAATAGTTCTAGCCATGGGTTTTATGGTCCCTTGCTGCTCTGTGTTACTCTAGAGTGGGAGTCTTCTGTGTTGTTATTTTAAAGTGTAACTTCAAGCGGATTTAGAGAGGCTCCTGCAGCTTCTCTGCATTTAATGAGTTAGTTACTTATTTGTTGCTCCTGGGGAAGCTGATGCTTGCAGTGAGCATCTGGACTGTGAAGCACGGAAGAGCTCAACCATCTGTCTTAATTCTTCTCCAGTCTGCCAGTGAATCTGTCAGGAGTATCTCTGGAATGAGTGCATCTTTTTGGATGCGTATCTTCTAAAACAGTCAGTTTCTTGCGTCACTTGTATGACCTAGTTTTTTAATTTCAGCCTGTTTTTTTTCCTGGTGAGGGTGTCAATCATGTGGATATTTATAAGGAAAAAATTGTATTTCCTTGGAGTTAAAACGCTGTCTAGTTGCATCTGTTGCTGTAGAATGAGTTTCTGGATGAATCCTGTGTTTCTTGGCAGTAGTTCTGAATTACCCTTCAGCACTTACACCTGAAGAGCTCTATGCTGGCTTAGCATTGTGATGCTAAAAATCTTATATGCCCTCTATGGCTTTGTAGGCATTGCAGTTTGCAACATCCCTTCCTCCTCAGTAGAGGAGACTGCCGACTCCACCCTCTGCCACATCTTGAACCTCTATCGCCGTGTTACTTGGCTGCATCAGGCGATGCGGGAAGGGAATCGAGCCTCCAGTGTAGAGCAGATTCGAGAGGTGGCTGGAGGCGCTGTGCGTATCCGTGGGGAGACTTTGGGCATCATTGGACTAGGTAAGTGATGGGAATTGTTAGATTAAAAAGTCAACTGTGAAAGCTTTTGGGAACCTGAAAGTTACAGACTGAACAAGTGATAATTTTACAGCTGTTCATTGTGAAACACACTGACTCATAAGGAATGCTAGTGCCCTATTCTGTGATGCTGGATATCTTCAAGAGTTGGGTGTATGTCCTGGGATTGGGGATTTTTTTTTTTTTTTGGTATTGAAATGGCTAGAAGAATTAGAACATTCAGACAGCTCTTCTCGGTGACTGTTTCCCTGTGTGCTAGGCTCTGTATCAGTAACAAAGCCACCTGAAAGCTGCCAGTTCCTTCTCCAAGTTCTTGTAGTCAGATTATTATTGCCTCTGACTCAGGGTCCAGATTTGGTTTGGAAAACAGAGCCTCCTTCTGGGCAAGCTCTGGCTATTGCATGGGGAAGGACTAGAATGAGGCACATGGGATCAGCACTGAATAACCTCCTCTGGATCCCTGCGGCAATCCTAGGGGTTTCCGGGGCTGCAGCACCTTGGGCCCTGGCAATAAACTCCAGTGTAGGCTCCCAGTCTACCCCAGTATCTTGTCTTTAAAGTTTGTTTTACCTTTCCTTGATGATTGTGGGTTTTCTTTTGTGAAGGCCGAGTTGGACAGGCAGTGGCTCTGCGAGCCAAGTCCTTTGGCTTCAACGTGATTTTCTATGACCCCTATCTGCCGGATGGAGTGGAGCGATCCTTGGGTTTACAACGAGTAGGAACCCTGCAGGATCTACTAATGCACAGCGATTGCATCACATTGCACTGCAGCCTGAATGAACATAACCATCACCTCATCAATGACTTCACTATTAAACAGGTGCAGCAGGAGCTTGATTTCCCCCACAGAGCACTGTGGAAATGAATGCAAACAGAAACTGCTGCTTTCACGGAGGCTGAGAGCGTGTGAATCCTGCTGCCTCTGTGGTGTGCCTCCTGCTGCCTTTGGAGGCTGGGAGCGTGTGGATCCGGGTGCCTGTGCTTTGTGCTGTAGAGAGTTCCATGTTAAGAGAAGAATAAGATTGGCTCTTCTTGCCAAGTAATTTTGTTTAAAGAGAATGTTTTAGGTGATTCAGTAATTTGAGATTGCCTTTAAAATGCAGAATTGATGCTGCTGGTCAGAGCCAGATGTGGTGTGGCTGGGACTGTGTAAGTGTCTTTACACGGCTCTGCCAAAGCCTCTCTGCCCAAGCCCACTGCACAGTCAGTCTCGGGCTCTACTCCACTAGTCTATGAATGCTTTTCAGTGCTTTCACGAGAGACATCTGGACGTTGTAGTCCAGTTTTGTATAGCTGGATACTTGATTCATGTCCTCTTTCCTTTTGAATGTAGTAGGATGAATATAGAGTGCAGAACTTGAGAGTTCCACTTTTGCCCTTGTTGTCTTGTGGTTTTGTTTGTTCATTTTTAAAGCAAATTTCTCAAGCATTGCTTGCAGGCATTTCCCCTGTGGTTAGCTTTGCAGTGAGAGCACTCCTAGTTCGTCCAGGCCTCATCTAATCACTGCAGGCTCCTGCTCATTTCCAGTAGACTTCCCAAGATTCACTTAGCCTCCGTGAAAACTCTGGTTCTCAATCTACTTAATATTTTCCTTCTTCCAGATGCGCCAGGGCTGCTTCTTAGTGAACACAGCCCGGGGAGGGCTGGTAGATGAGAAGGCCTTAGCGCAAGCCTTGAAAGAGGGGAGAATCAGAGGAACCGCATTGGACGTGCATGAGTCTGAGCCCTTCAGGTAATGTTGCACCTGCCTGCCTGTTTCTGTCCTGTGACGCGCCTGTGCTGGGTGATTCTTTCAGGTTTTTTGCTATCCGCGTCACAGTGACACCCGAGAGGGCAGACACAGTTATCGCTTCTGGAGAGAAACCACTTTTTTTTTTTCTCCCCATCCCCCACAGCTTTGCTCAGGGGCCCTTAAAAGATGCACCCAATGTGATCTGCACCCCTCACACTGCCTGGTACAGTGAGCAGGCTTCCATTGAATCCAGAGAAGATGCAGCTAAAGAGATCCGCAGGGCTATTACAGGTAAGGAGGAAGGCTGTGTGCTCCGCAGCTGCTGCTGAATTAGTATTCTTCTCTTAGTTCACTGCAAGGATTATTGCTGATTGTTCTGAAAGACTCAGTAACTGGTTTCTGGAACTGGAGTGTAAGTTGATAATTGTCTGTTTCCTTTCTGAGAATCTTGTAACTGGTGCTGGAGTGGCACTTCCCCTCCCTGGAAAAGCCTCATACCTAGTACATTTTCCAAATACTTTGCAATAATTCAGTCACACTGTACTTGTGTTTTCTGGAGTAGTATGTATTGTCTCTTGAGGAAGGCGAGGCTTGGCATTCCACAAGATCACAGAAGTGGGAAGAAAGGATCGGTTTCTTGTCTTTTCCAGGGGCAGGTTGTTCAGAGGAGGGCCTGCCCTGCCCAGTGTTATCCTGTGGAGGTAGATGGAAAAGATGTGTGTTTCCTTTCTACGTTCCTCTGTAAATGCTTCAGGGAACGAGCCCCTCCTACTCATGTCCTGTTTTTTTGTTGTTCTTGGTGCTCTTGCAGGTCACATACCTGATGCTTTGAGGAACTGTGTTAATAAGGAGTACTTGCTGTTAGCAGCTCAGTGGTCCAGTATTGATCCTGCTACTGTGCACCCAGAGCTCAACGGCGCTGCAGCATACAGGTGAGATCTGCAGGTTGGTCAGGTGACTGCTTCCAAGCGTGTCTGCCTGCCGAAGCAGGCTGACATCCCTCTTGGGCTTGAGAACTGCTTGTACCTGCAAGCTGTGTACTCTGTATGCAGGCTCCTTCCAGAAACTTGACAGCAGCACTTCTGAAGCTGTACTAGGATTTAACGTTTACTTGGTCATATTTAGTTCCAGCTGCATACTGATTAATTTTTCCAAATTCTTGCAAGACCTGCCCAAGAGATAACTGGATATAAGAAAGCCTGCTGGGTCCCTGAAAGAGGCCCGGATCTTAACAGTTAGAAGTTGTGCCTATTGTTAGGACTGTATAAACAAAGCACAATTTTTATCTGTGGCCCAAATATGGACTATTAAAGACTATTAAGACTTTCTGTATAAAAACCCATTGTCCAGTGGATTTGGGCAGTGGCCTAAATAAGGTGTATTTCAGTATATTTGTCTGTTACAGACCTGCCAAGTGACTGTGGGTGGGTTGCTTCCCTTCTGTTTTTCTCCCATCTGCAAAGTAGGAAACACATTCTGTTCCCTTCTTTGAGAGTTCTACAGAGGTTCAGATACGTTTATTGGAGAAGGCACAGGGGGGCAGAATGGAAGTTCATTAGCAATTCATGAGTGTATCTCTCCTGTTGTCATTCTGTGTCTAGCTGTTCTGTTAGTTCAGCTCCGTACTTCTGTCTTTGAGCCCAGTGAAGGATAACTGGCAGCTTGTGCTCCTCCTGCTGATGGGGGGGAATTTTCAGCCCTTCAGGGTTCCTTCATATGGTGCCTCACACTGTTTTCCACTGGAGATTAATTCTGTGCCTGTTTTCTAAACGCTTAGTATGTGACCTGAGAGTCTCTGCCTGCCTGAGAGTAGCTGCCCTTTGGTGTTGGGATATAACTGCTGCTCTGGAGACTTTCCCCGTGCTCTAAGCATTTCCTTTAGAGAAAGGCGCTTGTATTCAGCAGGTGCCTGAGGGCACGGCTCCTTTCCCCTTGCATAACTGCTGGAGAAGCTTGTAATTCCTATGTTTCTGTTGGTTTTAGGTTTCCTCCAGGAGTAGTGGGAGTAGCCACCCCTGGGCTACCAGAACCGCCCGTGGTGGAAGGGATGGTAGCTCATGGGATCCCTCCCGTCCCTCACTCTGCACCGCGTACCCCTTCCCCAGGAGACACGAGCAAACTGGATGCAGACAGAGAGATTCCTGCTGACCAATAACAGCATCTTTCTCTCTTTCCTCTGGCAGCAGAAAAAGTAGGAGGGTATCTCCTCCTTGGACCTTCTTTAACACCCTACAGAGACTGTTTCCTGTTCACACAGGACGGGAGGATGCATTTCATTACCGGCAAACTTTAGCTCTTGCCTTTATTTTGTAACCCTTTTGTTTTAATCTCTCAATGAATCTTTCTCCTTCTCTGGGGCAGGGCAGCAGTGACCTTGCCTCCCCTCAGAAATACTTGGTTTAACGAATGAGTTTTCCCATATATCTGCCTCAGTTGCCTGTGACAGGGAACTGTCCTTGTGCACTGGAAGATAGAAGTGGAGCTGCCTGGTCAGGGATGATGGCCCTTCATGTTCCCAACACCAGACTGCAGTGCACACTTTTCAGTTGTGACTTGTAGCTTAAATTTAATTTGGCTGAATGTCTCTAAGTAGCCATGGGGAATATTAGAAAAATACTAGTGAATTGGAGAAGTTGTGACTATTGTCTTTATCATGCCCTTGGTATAATAGAATGCAGCCTAGGCTCAGCTCTGTGTATTACTTTTGCTTGTTTTAATTAAGGTTTTCTGTGAGAACAGACATAGTGCAGGCATTGCTAGTTCTTGACCATACAAAGTTTTGTCTATGCAGTACTAGGCCTGAAGATAAAAGTAACAGTCTCAAAGCCAGCCTTGTAAATAATTTGGAAGGGATTAATATGTCATCAAACGTGTTCTGGTGGCCACTGGGTTTGTGAGGCTTCAGAATAGTTCACCCTGGAGTCTGTGTAACTTGGAGAAGGCAAGAGAATGCGGAAATGGGAGAAACTTACACTGGGAGACAGCAGGTAGCAATAACTTGCAGCTGCAGTTGCTGGTCCCTCACACACATGTACCTCACGGTCTAATGGTGGTGTTTATCCACCAGGTATCTATCATATTAGAATTTTAAGCTTTTGCTACAGATTTTTTTTTTGGCATAACTGCATCAGCTGTCAGTAACATACCACTTGTCTGTGCTGATGGAGAAGGCAGCTTTAACAGTTGACCAAATTAATTGACTTTAGCTCTGCTAGCCTACTGCATCTCCCATAGTGGGCAGGGCAAGACAGTGTTGTTTTAGGTGAAGAAGCTTTGTAATACTAGAGGAGAGGGAACGCTCTTAGCCCATCACCTGAAGCCAAGGCAGGATTGTTGGTCTCGTCTTTTCCTGTTTCCCAAATGGGTGAATGTGGATCACTGCTTTGAGGGGTATGGAGTCTTCAGCAAAACAGGTTCCACAGGAAAAGATATTTCCTTAATTCCAAATCTTCCTTGACTTTTCTCACCTTGTCACACTTCAGTTAGAGCCTTACCCCGCACAAGCTGCAGCAGTTCCTGGCTGGTTTGCCCCTGTTGGGGTGCACTGGGGCAGGGGCTGTGGGGAGCACACCGCTGCGGCTTTGCCTCCTGCTGCCTCCCTGCTGGAAACTCAGCAGCTGGGAACAGGCTGGAAACACACCGTGAGGTGTGGACAGAATCCTGTGTTGAGGCTGTTTACAGGTCGTAAAGTTGAGAAAAGCTTTTGAAGTCACTACATTTTCAGATTTTTTTTTTTTCCTGGTTTTAAATTTTTCTCCAGTACTGCCTTCCTATGATGGCTTACTGCTGACACAGTGAAGTGATTCACCCCTTTCTCCCCCACCCCCCCACTCCCCTCCAGCAATTCAAGAAAGGAAAATAGGCAAGATGTAAACTTCAGGGTTTTTCTTACAGATTTGACACTTTTAACTGTTTAGCATTAGTGAGATGTTAGTTCTCTAGTGCTGAGTGTCTTTTTTGATCAGGTATTTGTCTCGGTGAAGGTTCTTGGCTTCTGTGTTTTCCTGGATGATGCTGATTCTACTTAGAATTCATATACCTCCTTTACTGCTCAGGTTTAGCTGATCAGACTGGGACTGATGGTAGGCACAACTTGCAGGAGAACTTTTTCTGAACAAAATCCTAGAGCTCAGAAGAACGTTGACTGCCGCTGTACCTAAAATAGCCAGCAGCACTTTCCTGAGTTCTCTGATCTCTAGGAGGTGGAAATTTTACAAGTTACTAGCTCAGAAACCTGTTCTTCTGACAGACAGATGGGGAGAAGTTTTCAGGGACTGAGAGCTCATCTTCTGTCTATTACCATGTTAGGGAAGCAGTCTGTCGATAACTACTTTTTCCTTATTTGCTGCTGAGAATTCCTGCCCTGTTTAGAGGCCCAGGTCTGAGACTATTTTGTGGTAACGGGCTTCTAGTTATGAGCTTTGTGAATACAGAGGATCAGAGTACATTGACCCTGTCTCTTCTAGAGCACAATGCAAGATAGATTTATTTTTTTAAAAGAGGCAGCAATTTCTTTCTCTTAACTGCAAGTATCTCTATAGACCAGTCAAATAACTGAGCAGAAGAGTGGGAAGATCTAATTTGGGGGGATGCTTGAGTTTCTCAATTCTTAGTTTTAGTGTCTAAATATACTGGTGACTAGCAAGCCTAGGAATTAAATAATTGATGTCATAGAAATATTTCCAGTTACAGATACTAGGGAGTGGAAGCTGACAGCATTGATAGTGGCTCTGTTCTGCCCAACACTGTAGGCTTGTGATTGGATATGAAGGCAAATTTCCCCTTGACTAAAGCCACAGCAGAAAATACTGAGGTAAAAATGAACAGAACCCTTATGACCTCAAAGAAGGGCTCTCTTTGTGCTTATAGGACTACTCTGCTCATAGGCCATTTGTATCTCTGCTTATAGACTGTACCTGTTATCACCAGACAAAGGCTGTTCTGAACAGATAGCTCAAAGAAAAATCTACCAGTCCTGAAGTACCCTGTGGTCTTCTCCACCCCCCCAAGTGCCAAGTCCTTTGTCAGCGCTCTCCTGGGCAATCTGTGATACACTGACTTGCAGCTCCCCCTCCCAAGCTTACTGCAGTTATACAGAAGTGGAAGGACTTTTTTTTTTTTTTTTTCTCAATGCCTGCCTTCAGAGCTAGTGCAGAGCTTTAATCCCAAAGAACAGAAGACTCCCAGGGTGAGGCAGGAGTGCCCTCGCTGCACTAATCTGCTTACAGAAGGTGCTCACACTGTCCCAAGGTACATTCTGTTTGTCAGGGTCACTGCTGCTGACCAGCTTTTTTATAGAGGACTCAGAGTTTCAGAAATATATTTTTGTAGACAATGACTAAACTGTGAAACATTGAAATAAAGCATGTAAACAAAAACTTACAGCACTGTCCTCTGTACAGATGTTTTTCTCACTTCAGTTCTCTCCTGACTCATGAGAAAATGTTTGATTACTTCTTGGATATATTTTAATAAAGTTCTCCAAAGAACGTGGCTGCTGTCTGTGGAAGGGGTGGTCTTGGATACAGTGTTGAAGGGGAGGGTTGAAAACCTGCAGAGGTGAGTATCTGCATCCATCCTGCTCTTCTCAGGTAAGTTGGATCTTCCGCACAGTCGCTCCCGGGATCAACCGCTCTTGAAGCGCCTGGATTCCGGAGCACTGACCGTCAGTCTGGGCTCTGAAGGTGGCAGATGGGAGCAGCCCTCTGCAGGGCTTAGCCTGGGGTCTTGCCTGGGGCTTCCCAAGTTGAATTTGTGGGAAGGGGTTTGGCAGCCTTGTCAGTGTGTAGTTTAAATACAGACATTTAAACAGCCATAGGTGTCTTCACCCTTTTACAGTAAATGAGTGTTTGAAATTAATATACAAAATTAGCCCATGAAACTAATTTTTCTAACATATAATAAAAGTTGGTGCAACAGAATTGTAGAGAGTGGTTAGGTATTTCATAAATTTAAGTTAATTTATGTTTTATGTCCTGTGCTCTGTGTTGATCATTAATGGAGGTCAGGAAACCCCTTCCTGTTCTGAGCGGATTATGTCACTATTTGTTAACTGGTGCTGCGTGCCCTTGGAATATTTAGCACCGTGCTCAGGAAATGGGATATGGGACATGCTGGCCTGACTTACCATGGCAATTCCAGCCTTGGAGCTGGTGGAAGGGGAAGAGGACACAGGACCAGGTTGGAATCTTTCACGTGACAGTACTATTTCTGATACATAGCTGATGATCTTACTGTTTCAGTAAAGAAATGGACAGGAGGGCAAAGCTTGGTCTTCAAAGAATGTAGTAGTGATCTTGGATTTACCCTTAAAATTACTGAAGGGCTCTGCTGCCCTTCAGTGATGTTTCATGAGATATTGGCTCCTGTACTGTGTGGGGTTTTTTTTGGTTTTTTTTTTTTTTTTTTAGGAAAAGTGGGGGGGAGTTAATGAAACTATTGGCATGTGGTAAATCAAAATCTGAACTGCCTCTTGATGTAATGATCTTAGAGCCTGTTCAGTATTATCTGCAGGCCACATCAGGACTAAAATCACACCATAAAGATATAATGGGATGAAATGGTGAAACACTTCTTAGAACAGGCACATTGTACAAACTGGTGTGGGGCGTCACCTTACCCCTTTCCCAGTACAGTAAATTGCAACCTTCAGGTTTGAGTGAAGCTGAGATGGAAAGATTTTATCTACTTAAACCAACCTGGCACAATGAATAAATGAAAACAAGCAACTTCGATGCTAATTCAGCATCAGATGTCACTCGTCCAGAGCAAGGAATCAGAAAACAACTTTTATTGCCCCAAGAACGTCCTCCTTGCAGTGTGGAGCGCAGCCTCTGCTCCTCCTTCCGGCACTGCTGTGCTGAGAGGTGCGGTACTCTGAAAGGTTTTGTACGTGTTTGGTACCTTGAAAAGGAGGTTCAGGGCTCTGCGCTGTTCTGCATGAGAGCTCTTCAAACTAATCATGACTGACAGCTGCTCCCAGGGACGTCCTTTTGTATCTCAACCGCTCCCCAGTAACCGGCTGGTCAAGCGCCAGACCCGTGTGTGAGGGGCGGCGGCTGCTCTGGGGCCGAGCGGAAACATTCCGCCCGCGCTGCTGACCCGCGGGGGTCGGGTCTCTTTACCTCCAAGTTGGGGTGAAGCCCCCGTTTTCCTGTGACGAGTCCCGCTCGCGGGCTTGGGGAGGGCTCCGGCTGCGGCGCCCCCCGCCGCCAGCAGCAGCAGGAGCCGCTTCCCCACAGGGGAGGCCGCCGCGTCCGCCATCCCCGACG